ATGCCTGTGGAGGACAGAGGAGAACTCAGAGCAGGAGTTGGTTCTGTCCTTCCACTATGGGCATCCCAAGGGCAGAATTTAGGTCATCAGCCTCTGTGACAAGCACCTTAACCCACTGAACCATTTCAACACCTGGGAAGTTTTTGTTTTTTAAAGATTTAGTTTATGTATATGGTGCTCTATCTGTATGTACAGCTTCCTGCCTGAAGAGGGCATCAGATCCCCCTATAGAAGGCTGGGAGCCACCATGTAGTCTCTGGGAATTGAACTCAGGATCTCTGGGAGAGCTGTCAATGCTCTTACTGAGCCACCTCCCCAGCCCCCTTCCCTTTTTTTTTTTTTTTTTTTTTTTTTTTTTGAGAGAGTCTCATACAGCCTAGGATAACCTCAAAGACACTTTTCACCTTGTCTTCTTGTCTCTACCTCTAAGTAAAATCTCATATTGTCTCCTGATTGCTGAGTCCAAAGACAAATCTTGACTTTTCATTGTGAGGAAATCAACCAGTCCATAAAGAAAAGAATCCTAGCACTCAGGAGGAAAAGGCAGGTGGGGCTTCGTGTGTTCCAGGACAGCCAGGGCTGTTACACAGAGAAATACTGCCTTGAAAAACCAATATGTAGCGAGTTCCAGGACAGCCTCCAAAGCTACAGAGAAACCCTGTCTTGAAAAACCAAAAAACAAACAAAAAACCAATATGTATAAACTCAATTAGTAGAAGCAATGCTTAATGTTTAACTCCCTTGGCTAAATATCATGTCTTAACAGATGTTAGTGTGGCTGGGCATTGGTGGCGCAAGCCTCTAATCCCAGCACTCGGGAGGCAGAGGCAGGTGGATCTCTGGGAGTTCAAAGCCAGCCTGGTGTACAGAGCTAGTTCCATGACAGGCTCCAAAGCAATACAGAAAAACTCTGTCCTGGGGAAAAACAAAAACAAAAAAACAAACAAACAAAAAAAAACAAAAGCAAAAACAAAAACAGAAAAGCAGATGCTAGTGTGACTCTTTGTTCTTTTGTTCTGAGATTTCTGGATTTAGGAGGATGTTTGGTCTCTTCTGCTGCATGTACACTGTCAGCATACCTTCCCAGTAGCCATTCCAGGGCTCCTGGTTCATGAGAAGGCCCACCTTTCTGCTGAGCGACAGACGTCTACACAGCCAGCTGAGTGTCCTGAAGCCTTCTTGCTCTGAATGATCACCCAAGTTAGAGTGGGTCCCCTGTGCATGTGGCACTACCCAAGACCCTGTCAATCATTTTACTTACTGTCTATATTGCAGAACTCGTATATGTTCTGGGTTCAAAATTGGATGGTAGGATACAGTGGTTTGTTATCATTTATTCTTATGGTTGTTTTCCTCAGAAAAACAACAAATTCTTAGAAAAATCTGGAACACAGATTTGAAACTGGTTCAGAATTTGACTGGATCATAGGGCTATGACTTAATCATATTAATTTATTGAGTTCATCCTGTACTCAGTGTGGCTGGAGAATAAATTCTGTTTTTGTTTGTTTGTTTTTTCGAGTTGTGGATTTGGAGGCTGTCCTGGAACTAGCTCTTGTAGACCAGCCCGGCCTCGAACTCAGAGATTCACCTGCCTCTGCCTCCTAAGTGCTGGGATTAGAGGTGTGAGCCACCACTGCCTGGCCCTTGAGTTCATCTTGCATCCCTTCCTCCCTCTCTTTCTTAGTTTTGAGAAACTCTGAAGTACCCAGAACATGCCCCTCCCCCACTCCCCGTGACCTTGATTTCAGCTCCTCGTGCTTCCACCTCCAAAGTGCAAAGAGGAGAACAGGCATGGATTCCTTTTTTTTTTTTAATGGCATTTTTTTAAAAGATTTGTTTATTTAGGGGTTGGAGAGATGGCTCAGAGGTTAAGAGCACTGACTGCTCTTCCAGAGGTCATGAGTTCAATTCCCAGCAACCACATGGTGGCTCACAACCATCTGTAATGAGATCTGGTGCCCTCTTCTGATGTGTAGACATACATGGGGGCAGGGTGTTGTGTTCGTAATAAATAAATAAATCTTTAAAAAAAAAAAAGATTTGTTTATTTAGTATACAGCGTCTGTCTGCATGCTCACAACCCAGAAGAGGGTGCCAGATCTCATCACAGATGGTTGTGAGCCACCATGTGATTGCTGGGAATTGAACTCATGTCCTCTGGAAGAACAGCCAATGCGCAGAGGTCAGAAGAGGTATTGGATCCATGAACTGATTTAGAGGTGGCTCCAAACCACCATGTGGGTGCTGGGAACCAGACTTGGGCCCTATGGAAGAGTGACAGGTGCTTTGAATAGCCAAGACACTCCCAAGTCCTAAATAAACCTTAGAAAATACAAAGTAAGACACGAGGGATGTCCTAGAAGGTTCTATCTTGTGCCCTCCCCCACCTTCCCTTTGTTTGAGTCTGCCATTCCCTCCCAACAACTCAGACCCTGGGTACTGGGCTAGCTGCCAAAATGGATGGATCCTCATGCTTCTATGCTGTTTGCCTCTAACACAGATGCTAAGAAAGCGCCAGGCTTGAGCTGTGTTGGGAAAGGCATTGTCATTTCCAGGTAAGGAGGCTGAATCCTGGTGGCACATGCCCGTAGTCCTGGCACTTGGGAGGCAAAACCCGGATGATTGCTGGAAGTTTAAGGCATGACATGTCTCACTAAAAACAAAATCAACTGGGGGTGAAGGGGTGGGGGGGTGGGGCTCGTGCCTTTAAGTTCAGCACTCAGGAGGCAGAGGCAGGTGGACTTCTGTGAGGCCAGCCCGCTCTACAGAGTGAGTTCTAGCACAGTCAGGGATACGCCAATAAACCCTGTTTTGAAAAACCAAAACAAACAAAAACCAAAATCAAATTTAAGATTTTTTTTTGCCTGAGGCAAGGTTTCTCTGTGGCTTTGGAGGCTGTCCTGGAACTAGCTCTTGTAGACCACGATGGTCTCGAACTCACAAAGATCAGTCTGCCTCTGCCTCCTGAGTGCTGGGATTAAAGGTGTGGTGAGCCGCTGCCACCGCCACCACCTGGCTCCAAACTCAAGTTTTTATTTAATTTTTTTTTTTCTTCCTCTTTGTCCTTTTTCAGACAGGGTCTCTCACTTTTTGTGGCTCACAAACTAGTCTAGGCTGTCTGGCCAGAAAGCTTCAGAGACCTTTGGAACTAGGATTACAAGAACTCATCCACTAAGTCTGGCTTTTTAATTGTTATTTTATTGTATATTATTCTATGTGTATGTATATGTCTATCACTTGTATGGCTTGTGTCTGAGGAGGCCATAAGAGAGTGTCAGATTGGAAGGCTCCCTAGGATTGGAATTCCAGACAGGTTTGAACCTTTATCTGGTTGCTGGGAATTGAACCTGGGCCCTCTGGAAGAGCAGCCAATGCTCTTAACTGCTGAATCATCTCTCCGGGTCCCCTACTTTATTTGGAGAGGTTTTGAGGAAGCATGGGTGTATATACTATCAATGTCTTTCTGAAGTTCAGAGCCTAACTTTTAAGAATTGAGTCTGGGGGCTGCAGAGATGGCTCAGAGGTTAAAAGCATTGGCTGCTCTTGCAGAAGTCCTGAGTTCAATTCCCAGCAACCACATGGTGGTTCACAACCATCTGTAATGAGATCTAGTGCCCTCTTCTGGCCTGTATACATAATAAGCAAATCTTTAAAAAAAAAAATCTGACAGGAACTAGGCTTGGTGGTGCATGGCTGTGTTCCCTACTCATGGGAGGCAGGAGAAGGAAGCTAAGGAATTCAAGGTCATTTTAGCTACTTATCATATTCCAGGCCAGCATGGACTACAGAAGACCCTGTCTTAAACGTGTTTTGAGAATGAATAAAAGCAACGTAACCGAAACTATAGGATAATGACTCACTGGCCTTGGTAGTGGAGTGGTGAGTAACTGGAAGGGGAAAGCAGTAGAGTAACTTCAGGAGGGCTCTATTCATGCTCAAGACTTGCAAGGAAGCAAAGATGAAAACCCTTTGCTAGCTTGACAGCAACTAGTTTCCTGATAGGCAGGGAGGGGTGCACCATCCTCCCATCCAGAGAGCCACGATGTAAGGAATATTCTGGAAGGCAAGTGTGGCTGCACACTCCTGTTAATTCCAGCACTTAGAAGACAGAGGCCAGACAGAGTGCCAGGTTGGAGATCAGCTTGGTCTACATAGTGAATCCCGGACTAGTGTGTCCCCAAACAAAGTCTACATAGTGAATCCCAGACCAGTGTGCCCCCAAACAAACAAAGGGAAAGCCACTGTGGCATGGTGCACCCCTTTAATCCCTGTGCCGGGAGGGTTCCAGGCCAGGAACCCAATCAACACTAACGGATGAAGGTGCGGAGCAGGAACAGGTACATTAGGTGTTTTATATGGACAGGGGCTGGAAACAAACGGCAAACCAAAGCAAAAGGCAGTCACTCTGCCCCGGGGGCCGACGGGGACACTCTGCCTGTCATCCTCAGGAGTGATGGTCATACTGACCTCCGTAAATGCATGGCATTAACTTCATAAAGACCGGAAAGAGAACCCTGAGCAAAGTGGGGGAAGAGCCAACACCACCATGGAAAGGATTTTTCAATTAACCCCTGTAGGAGAACTGCTGTTTCTCACAGAAAGCTTTCTGTGTTACAGCTTTGGCTGTCCTGGAACTCACTCTGTAGTCCAGGCTGATCCTGATCCACCAGCCTCAGCTGGGACCAAAGTCACACACCACCACTGCCTGGCTTGGCAGTGTTGGTATCCCTAACCGGGTGGTTTGTGTTTGGCCTCATACTGGCTGTCTGCTGGAACGTCACATTTACCTATGCTCACCCTGGCTCTGCCTCCAGAGCGCAGGCATTATAAGTATACACTGACACACCTGGTATGCGCAATGGTAGATGAATCTAGGATGTTATGCACATTGGACAACACTCTTCCCTATATTCCTAGCCTCACAGATAGAATTTAAAAAGATTGCTAAAAGCCCAATGAAAATGAACAAAAGGGGAAAAAATAAGCTTGACGTGACATACATTCAGAATCTTTATTTCAAAACAGAAACTACAGTAACATTAATAGAAAGTATATATGGAAATATTCACAACCTGGCCATTGACAATGGGAAGATTCCACTCAGCATTACTGCCAACTCACTGAGGAGCAGAAGAGGTAAGTTAGAGACACCTTTCCAGCAAAGGCCCTCTTCATAGCTTTGTGAGTTTTTTATCCCGTGTCTCAATGACCACAGGGAGTAACGAACAGGGCTACTGAACTGGGTATTGAAATACTGTTACATATGCAAGGCTTTGCCTAAAGGGCCTGGAATGTGTAAGCACCAAGAGGGACCGAGGGATCCAGTGATGGGAAAGGAGGAAGGGCCATCTCCGTTTATGAACCAGTGGAGAATGAGGGGATGGGTTGTGGAGGGATCCGTGACCTATGACTGCTGGGAATCCTGGCATTCCTCCCAACATACTAGTCCCTTCAAAGAAATCCTCCCTCTCCCACAGCTGGATCAGGAGCCCTGACCTCACAGGGCTCTTTCCTATTCCCAGCATCCCTCAAACTGGAGTGAGGCGGAGCCTTCCATCCCCAACCTCAAGGATGGGGAGCCAGATGAGTGGGATCTAACCCCAGTGCAAACCCCACCCAGTAGAGGCACTGCTGCTCATGTACACAGGGATGAGTTTCCATAGAAACAGAGGAAACAAGCTCTTAACAGCCAGAGCAAAGTGCCAGTGCACATACATTCACAGCCCCAGGCGTGGGCCACACTGTCCCTAAGGTGTCTCCAGAGTCAAGGCCCCTCGGGCACTTAGCACACTATCACAGGAACATGGTAACACGGTAGCCTGAGAGTGTCACAGACATAGACGAGCATGCCATGACCGCAGAGCAACAAGGTACCCAAACAAGGTAATTAAGAATCATTTAGGAAAAAAACCCTCTCCCAGAGCTGAGGTAACAAAGTCCAAGTTAGCTATGAATCCCTTTAAATCAAAATAAAACTAAATGAACACATAAAATCTCCTAAGAAACAAAATTGAAATAAGAAATGCTTATCGAGAGCTACTGCATTGAAGTTTCTCGTTTGTATGGCTCGCTCACCAGTTAGGTAGTGGGGCTGACTGAAGGAAAAGAAAACAGAGTTCATCGGGACAGGCAGGGGGAAGGGGAGGTGTTGTACAAGCCCTTCTCCCTTCTCTGGACTCCATGTAAAATAAAAGGCCACCAACACCACTAACTACAAAGCCCATCTTTGTAACAAGCATAGATTTCAAGTAACACTACATAAACTATAATCTTAAAAGGCCCACAGAAAGCTGTGAGCCTTTCCCTACAGGCACTCGCTCTTCTGAGAAAGAAGCCAGAAGAGTCTTTGTGTAGAACAGAGGCAGCTCACATGTCCACCACAATGTCTACTCTCCATTCATGTTGCACCATCACCCTCCAGCACCAACCCTTCTTTCCTCAAAACCTCTCTTTAAACACCTCCCTCCGACCTAATTTCCTTACTCTTTCATTATTTGGTAAAGTTACACTTAAAAAAATAAATATTTATGCACTAAAACCTGAAGATAAAATAAATAAAACTCGAGTTACTTTAGCTGTGCAGAGTTGTATCAAATTGAGGGCTCCCATTTAATCCCCAGTGCCCCCCAACACTGGGTGTGAAGGTCTGTTTGTTTCCTGGCAAGCTGAGGTTGGGGAATGGGGGCTGCACCCCACTCCTACTCCCTAGGCAAAGGAGATCCTAGAACTAAGAGGAACTGCAGCCACTCCCTCCTGACATGAAGGTAGGTTCACTAGAGAAATATCCAAGAAATGAAACAGTTAACAAGCCATTGGTGACCCAGCCAGCCCCAGCGTTGGGTGCAGCAGGAGTGTTCATGGAGTGTGTGGGGTGACAGAGGATCAATAGCAGCGTCCACAAGCGGTCCTGGTTCATCCTGATGAGGTCTCCCCGCTTTGGGGAGGTTGCTGTCCACGTTGGAGGGAGGTGAAGGAGGTCCACCTCAGGCATTGCCAGGGGTCTCCTTGACAGGCTGCATGCTATTCATCTCCACACCAGAGGTTTTCCCAGCCTGCCCCTCGAAGGCCCGGGCAATGTCTTCGAAAGTCCTGCCTTTGGTCTCAGGGACTTTGAAGAAGGTGAAGATTAAGAAGATAACGAGGAAAGCAGCAAAGATGATAAAAACATAGGATCCCAAGTAGTTCTAGGAAATGGGAGAAGAAGGTTGGTCATTGGCACTTGACTGTCTCATTTCTGCCTGGCCTTAAGCTACAACTCTTCCATACTGAATGAACGGCTAGGCCGCTTCACTTAAGAAGACACCATGTTTCTCTGCAATTCTCGGTATCATTCTTTTTTAGTCACTCAAACTAGCTACTTCTAAACACCTGAGGATTTTATTTTCTAAACACCTGAGGATTTTCTGATTTTTGAAACAGGCTTAACTCTGCAGACTAGGCTGGCCTTGAAAAAGATCTGCTTGTTTCTGCCTCCCCGGTAAAATAATAATCATTAGAAATAAGAGTGTGCCACCAGGTCTGGCCATTCTGAGGGTTTGCTCTTAAGACATCAGCCAGGTGGTAGTGGCACACACCCTTAATCCCAGCACTCAAGAGGCAGAGGCAAACAGATCTCTGTGAGTTCAAAGCCAGCTTGGTCTACAGAGCAAGTGCCAGGACAGGCTCCAAAGCTACAGAGAAACCTTGTCTCAAAAGAAAAAAAAAAAAAGACTTTAATCCCAGCACTTGGGAGGCAGAGGCAGGTGGATCTCTGTGAGTTCAAGGCCAGCCTGGTCTACAGAGTGAGTTCCAGGACAGCCTCTAAAACAATACGGACAAACCCTGTCTCAAAAAACCAAAAACCAAAACAAAACATTTCATCACGAGGTTTAAAAATTCAGGCTTCTAGAAAGAGCTGTGAGAATAGGAAATATTTATACAGCCAATTGGATCTAGGTCATCCTTCAGACTATGGAGCCTTTATTTAGGAGTATCCAGTTATCAATACCGACTGATATGATGATTTTAATATGGGGGCTAGGAAGTCTTAGGAACTTGGTGCTGTCCTTCTGTTCCTAAGCAGAACTATCCACCAACCATCTCAGGTCCTTAAGGCTTCCAGTTTTGCCCTCACTGTAGCCTAGGCTGCCTCAACTTCATACCAAGCCTCCCTGCCGCAACCTCACAAGCGCTGGGATTGTAGGCACAAACCACATTGCCTGGCTCCGTCCTTCACTTCTCGTTTCCTTGTGGGAAATCTGGGTTAAAGTTTTTCTTTTTTAATTATAATTTATTTTTATTTTATGTGCTTTGTTGTTTTGCCTATATGTGTACCTATGTGAGGGTGTTAGATCTTGGAGTTGTAGACAGTTGCTAACTGCCATGTGAGCACTGGGAATTGAACCCAAGTCCTCTGGAAGAGCAGTCAGTGCTCTTAAACACTGAGCCATCTCTCCAGCCCCTGGGTTAAAGTTCTTGACACACAATCTGCCCTGGAGTATCTACTACTAAGGTGCATCTTAAGTGTCAGCTTAAAGTAGGTTGGTTTGTGATAGACCATGTTTGGTTTTAAATTTACTTACTGCAGCCGACGGGAAGAGCATCCCAACCAAGAAGTTGGAGGTCCAGTTAGAACAGCCAGCCACTGCCATGGCAGCTGGGCGCGGGCCCTGGCTAAAGAGCTCAGCCACAATAAACCAGGGAATGGGGCCCGGTCCAATCTCAAAGAAGGCCACATAGACCAAGATAGCCACAATACAGACAAAGCTCATGGCTTCATACTTATCCTGTAAGAGAAGGAAACAAAGCCCAGTTAAAAAGGCAGCATGGCGTATAAAGCAGTCACTTCTCTTGGGAGCCAGAAGCCCGAGTGCTGCCGAATCCAGACCACTCCCTCTCCTCACCATCTCGTTTCGTACCAAGACCAGTTCAACACCTGGAAATGTAACTACAAGACCTTTTCTTTTCAAGACACTCTTTTCCTCTGTGTATTCCTGGCTGTTCTGGAACTTGATCTGCAGACCACACTAACCTCGAATTTACAGATTCACCTACCTCTACCCTCCAGAGCGCTGGGATTAATGGCATGTGCCACCACACCTTGTGGAGAACCTCCTGCCTTTGTTAAGATTGGAATTACAAACCTGGGCATTGGTGGCACACACCTTTAATCCCAGCACTCGGCAGGCAGAGGCATGAGGATCTCTGTGAGTTCAAAGCCAGCCTGGTCTTCAGAGCAAGTTCCAGGACAGCCTCCAAAACAATACAGAGAAACCCTGTTTCAAAAAAAAAAAAAAAGATTGTGGGATTACAGGTGTGGTGTGAACTACCAACATCTGGCCTTCAAGGTGTCTGTTAGGAATTAAACCAGACAGGGCCTGCAAGATGGCTCAGTGGGTAAAACGGTGCTTGCCATCAAACCTGAGGACCTGACTCCGGTGCCCCAGACCCACATGATAGAAAGGTAATTGGAGGATTAGGATTCAGGGCCATCCTTGGCTACAAAAGACCTTTCCTAAAACAATGCATCTTACAAGCCGTCTTACATGCACACAAGGATACCCGGTTACTGATCTCTTGAAGGTACACCTTTGATAAAACTTCTGGGCAGCTCAAATTTAACTTCATTGATGCCCCGGAAGGCCAACACCTCAGCCCCTGCCACTGAGGGTCAACTATAGCCCATGTAACCTCATCTCTTCCACCAAAGAGCACTCACCTTCAGTACCAAAGAGATCGTCATGAAGATGGAACAAACAGCCATGCCTCCCAGGCCTATCATGTGCAGGGTTCGCCTCCCGGCCTTCTCCACCAGGAACAGCTAGAAGGTAAGGCATTTCCGATTTCATGAATGCCGTGTAAAGGATTCTACTGCCTGATCCCATGGCCATTTCCACACCTTTCCTTTCCCATCCATTCCACATTTACTGGGATTCTCTTTCTCAAGGGAATTAAAAAATGGTTTAACTAAATGTAGGCTGTGGAAAGGCAGTCCATGCCAATGTTTGAGCACTTGGAGGAGGATTGTTTCACCCATTTCCATCATTCACCCAACTACCCAACTTACAGAAACTACAGTGAAGATGGTATTAACCACACCCGCTCCAATCGTAGCATAGATTGGCTCCTGGACACCTGCATCCTTGAAGATTCCCGTTGAGTAATAGAACACCTAGGAGACAAAAACCGCATCACCAACTGTATCCCAGGGACACTGGGTCCTTGGCCAATGCTCCATCTGTGTACATCCCACATGCCAGTTATCCAGGCCAGCTGCTGTTTCCTTCTAATGCTTATCCCCACTGCCTAGTTACTTCTTACATCTTACCCTGCAGCCTCTGCCTCTGCCTTCTCCAGTGCTGGGGTCACAGGAACAATTGCCATGCCCACCCAGCTCATTTGCCTATGTCCACTTTGCAAAATTTTAGAGATTTAAGTCCTAGTTTCTCTTTTGTCTCAGTCCCTGATCCTTCTGCCTCAGCCTCTCTGTGCATGTCTCCACATTCTCCTCTGCTTCACGCCACTTTTGTTCCTTCTTTCAAGGCCTCTCTATGTACCCCTGGCTGTCCTGGAACTCACTCTGTAGACCAGGCTGGCCTTGAACTAGGAGATCATTTGACTGCCTCTGCCTCCTGAGTGCTGGCACTAAAGGTGTGTGCCACCACTCACTCCCAGCTGACTTTCCTTTTTAAAAAAGGTTAAGTCCAGGCCACTTCCAGAACACTCTTGGTAGAGAAGACTTAGGAAAGCCCCACCCTGCGGTTTGGGTTAGAGTAGACACAGTCAAAACTTGCTCACTCAGTGAACTGGAAGCCATCCTAGTACCATAACGAATTTCCTCAGGTGGGACAAATGCATCTTGTACTGTGCACCCTCGATCATTTGTGGGTATTAACGACCATCCTGTTCCAGCTTTTGGAGTAACTACATTCTACAGACACATGTCAACCTGCCAACAAGATCAGGTGACTTCAGGAAACTATCGCTGGGTCCCTTTGGCGCCAGGGCAGACACTCACGGCATTGATCCCAGAGAGCTGCTGAGACAGCTGGAGGATGACGGAGATGAGGAGGGGCTGGTGGTAGTTGGACGACCTAAAGAGCTCCAGCACGGTGACCTGCTTCTCCTGGGCCATCCTGGCACTCTCGTCTTTCATCTCCTGGATCTCCTGGGCCACATCCTGGGTGCCCCACAACCGCTGGAGGACTGAGGTAAGAGGACAAAGACAGTGAACACACCGCGTCCCCGCCACCCCACCACCCCGTTGTCTCCTGTGGGTCAGCAGACAAGGAAACACTAAGACGACACACCCACAGCCTCCACCTTCGCCTGTCTTGTCACCACTTCACCCTTGGGCTGAGCGTCATCAGGAAGCACAAGGGAGAGCCTAACAAACCACCCAGCGTCCTCACCCTGACCCACTCACGAAACCAAATTCCCGGGTGATGCATGAAGAGTACTCACTCTCCTTTGCACGGTCTTCCTCCTTTCGGTTAATGAGCAAGAATCTCGGGCTTTCGGGGCAAAACAGAAGGGCTGCGCTTTGTAGGATAGCCGGAATGATTGTCAAGCCCAACAGCCCAGGCCACAGCTCTTCAGAGCCCAGGATGAAGTCCAAACCAAAGACCTAGAAGCCAGACAAAGAACGCTGAACCCAAACCCTACCTACCAGGCCACAGATTCACCATAAAAAAAAAAAGAAAGAAAAACAAGATCACTCATCCCTTTACCACACATAGAAAAGAGAAAACAAATTGTTTCTTGTCCTTTTTGGGCCCTGCCTATATTATATGAACTATAGCAATAGTATCTGAAACATGTACGTATAAACACATAGTTGAACACAGGCCAGATCCTGAGTGCTTCACCTACACCATTCACAGAACATTCAGCTGGCATGCATTAAACAAGCAAAACTGCAAGGTACCTGAGCCACCAGGATCCCGATGACAATGCCCAGCTGGTTTAGTGTGCCAAAGGCACCCCGCAGGGCAGTGGGAGACACCTCTCCAATGTACATGGGCACAAACCCTGTGCACAGTCCACAGAAGATGCCGATAATTAAGCGACCCAGGATCAGCATTTCAACAGATTCGCCTATTTTGGCGAAGCCCATAAGACAGCCACCACAGATGGCCAATAGGTTGACCAGAAGCATCGAGTTGCGCCTGCAAGGTTAATGGAAGACAAGGTATAGTTAGTTTGCCACGGAAGAGGCAATGGTCTCTCCCTCCCTCATGACTTTACTCTTCTGTAGCTCTGTAGGCACAAATCTTTTTCCCTTTGTGGCTGTAGGCTTGTGCATTTGAGGAAACCATATCATCACTGAGCTATATAGCCCCACAACCTCCTTCCTTCCTTCTTAAGAATAAAAACTTTTTTTTTTTTTGGTTTTTCGAGACAGGGTTTCTCTGTGGCTTTGGAGGCTGTCCTGGAACTCACTCTGTAGACCAGGCTGGCCTCGAACTCACAGAGATCCGCCTGCCTCTGCCTCCCGAGTGCTGGGATTAAAGGCGTGCGCCACCCAACGCCCGGCCCTGGTTTTTTTTTTTTTTAAGAATAAAAACTTTTAATCCCAGCACTGGGGAGGCAGAGGCAGGCGGATTCTCTGTGAGTTCAAGGCCAGCCTGGTACAGAGTGAGTTCCAGGACAGCCTCCAAAGTCACAGAGAAACCTTGTCTAAAAAAAAAAAAACAAAAACAAGAAAAGAATAACAAGTGTATTGCTGTGTTTGTGTGCACGTGTGTCCAGGTGCTGGTATGCCACAGCGCACAGGTGCCGCTCAGACGACACCCTGGATGGAATTGGCTCTCTCCTTCCACCTTTGTGGACTCCAAGAACTGAACTCAGGTCAAGGGTCTTCTTAACAAAGGCTGAGCCACCATGCTGACTCCTTGTTATTCCACTCTTCATAGAATTATATTGCAGTGATGGCAGGACATGCAGGACCATTTGTTTTTTTTATTTCACTGAAAAAAATATTGTCAGAAGGAAGCTAGTCTCAGCTCCCTGTGTCAAGTAGTTAACGACTAGACTAATTAACCCTGAAAACCCTCAAGAGCCGAGAGGAGGCACAGGACTCTGGCTTTTGGAAACAGGGTCTCGCTATGCAGACTTGGTTAGCCTGGAACTCTGATCCGATCCACCTGCTTTGGCCTCCTGAACACCACCAAGCCCACCCAACCTGGGATTCTTCACTTGAGACCATCAAATTACAAAGGGAGCTGGGAAAATGTTGATACATGGTTCCTGTCTCCAGAGGCCCACTTAATTGGCTATATAGTGTGATACAGCACTGGGACTCCTAAAAGCCACCTTAGGGGATCCTAAATGTGTAGCCAAGGTGCACAAATATCATTAAGAGGAAAAAGGTCAAACACTTAAGAAGTTTTGAGTTTTAAAAAAAGTTACTCTCCTCCCTTTCTATTTTCTTCCTTGATGGGGTACTTTGGCTAATGGAAAAAAAAAAACATGGTGGTTATTAGTCAAGAGACCCCATTAAAAAACCAAAATAACACTGGGCATCAGTGGTGCACACCATTAATGCCAGCACTGATGAGGCAGTAGATCTGAGCTCGAGGTCAGCCTACAGAGAAGCCCTGTATCCAAAAAAAAAAAAAAAAAAGAAACAATCAAATTAACAACTAAACATTATCATTATCCAACTATAGGCTAGCTTTGTTAGTTATCTCAAATCCAACTGTATATCTAGAACAGCCAATTTTTAAATCTAAAGACAATATTTGTGCATGTGCAGCAAGACAGGGAGCATGAGCCATAGTGTTTGTGGAGGTCAGAGGTCAACTCATGGAGGTGGGTCTCTGCTTCCACCATGTAGATCCTGGGGTAGCCTCAACCCGATCCTCCTGAACCCTGGGCCTGAGGGCTTGTGCCACCAAGCCCAGTTGTTAGAATGCCTAAAGTAGGCATAAAGTATTAATGGTTCTTTTTCAGTCAACTCCTGAAAGCATAACCAAGGTATTATTTTACCCAATTTTCTCTTTTGGGGGGAAAAATTACTTACTGTCCACGTTTTCCACAAGTCAGGGATTACAAAAAGTATTCATTTTATAAAATAACAAAGGACCTCCAAGAAACCTCCAAAATATTCAGTAATGACAATAACTTTGTGGCCCCCCAGAAAGCAGAGGTAGGTAGGTAGATGGACCTTGACTTTGAGGCCAGCCTGATTCTCTGGCCTTAAAGGAGTTCAAGAAAACACCATAGCTGACTCCACTAGAGAAAATTAAGCCTGAGGGACTTCTGAGGCCAAGCGCTCACTTAGCAGATCTCTAGAAAGGCCTGCGGAGCTTCAGGGGCAGCGGCCCCCAAGGGCAGCCACATTCCAGGCCAGGTGGACTAGCTCTCCCTGAGTATAAATCAACATACTCTCATGTAAGGCTCATCACCAACCTGAACAATGCCCTTTGCTTGTCATCAGCATAAAAGGTACAGGCCTATTCCTTGCCCCGTGTCTGATCAGTACCTGCCAAAGCGGTTGACAAAGAGTCCAACAGAAAAAGAGCCAATCATGCCACCAACGGAGAAGATGGCCACACACAAGGACCAGAGTGTGGTCAGCAGCTCCTTACTTGGCGGGTCTTCTGACTTCTCTTCCAAAGTGTAGTTGAGAAAGTCTTTTATGAGCTAGAAGATAAAATGCACAGTGGGGACAGACCATTATATCTGGAGGAGAATAGCAGACAAATGCCAGGGTGACTTCCTCCCTCAGAGGATGGGAGCAGAGTCACATGCCTTGAAAAAGACAATTCACTTAAACATCCAGTAGGTGGCAGCACCAAGGTACACCCGTGTACCCCACCCAGTCATAACTTCCTAGCAATCCCCAAGGAATAGAAAAGGAAAGATCAAGACTAGGTTAGAGGGCAGGAGGCCAGAGCTTGAGGAGCAAGTAGCCCAGCTTAGGCTTCAACAGTATTTGCCCTCCCCCACTTTATCCAGGCATCTTAAATCCACACTCACCGTCTCAGGGGCATTGATGACTCCAGTGTTGTAGCCAAACTGGAAAGAACCGATTGTGGCCACAGTAATGGCGAACACCAGAGATGGGGTCACCTGGAGAGGAGACAAGGGGGGGAGGCTTACAAACAGTAACCAGTCTGAATTTTCCCCTTCCCCAGGATGTCTGGTTGCTGTCCTTGAGGCAATGCTCCTGCCTCTGCCTCCAGAATGCTAGGATTTCAGGTACATTTGGGGAGAAACATCTTTGGGGGAATTTGAGTCAGTTCTTTCGGGTTGGTCTTCATAGCCAGCCTCAGGCCAGCCAGGGCTACACAGTGAGATCCTGTCTCAAAGAGGGGAGAGAGGAAACAGTAGTGCACATCCAAGGCCATAGGATCATGAGTTCAAAGCCAGCCTGGGCTACATACGTGGTGAAACACTGGTTGTCTCAAAAAGAAAAGACAACAAGTAAAGAAGTAAAACCGCACCAGATAAGAGGCAGGCATGGGACTTCACTCAGGAACCATGAGGAGGAGGCATGAAAGGGCTCAAACCCAAAACCTCAGCAGCTAGGGAAGCCTCTGAGGAAGGGGGACAGTCATGAGTTCACGGCCAGCCTGGGCTACAGGGAGACCATGACTTAACACCCAAACTTCCCACAGCATAGAAGGCAGAGCAAAAGGCAGCTTTAAGGTCCCTAAGAATTGACCATTCTGTAGAGCTGGATTCAGTGTCACCTCCCCAGGTCACCCGCCAAACTGCAGAGGCCAGAGCAGCAGGTAGCAGCAGCCTGGCCACAGGGATACCGAAATCAACAAACTCCGGAACAAGCTCCTTGTACAAATTATCGAGTTCTCTCCTCTCTCCACCCCCAATAACTTCAGCAAATCTTCCCTCACCTTATGATATGAGACAAGGTTCTACCCTCTGCATTCCAAGCTAATCTCAAATTTAACTCCTCAATCTTCCTGTTTCAATCTCAAGTGTGGGACTATAGTTGAGATTTTAAGTTCTACATATCTGAAAAACATGCTTTTCCTCCTGTACCTGGCCTATTTCACGTCCGTCCATCCATCCATCCATCCATCCATCCATCCATCCATCCATCCATCCATCTTTCTATAAGTGACATGACTTCATTTTTCTTTTCCTTTTTGTGGCAGGTTTCCTCTGTGTAGCCCTGGCTGTCCAGGAACTCACTCTGCAGGCCAGGCTGGACCAGACCTCAGAGATCCACTGGCCTCTGTCTCCTGAGCGCATCACCACCATCCGGCTGACTTCATTTCTCTTAACACCTGACTGATACTCCACAGTGTGTCACCACTATTATTTTTAATTCATTCACCCGTTGGTGGGCACCTAGGGCCGGGCTGCTCTTATCTGCGTAAACCTACCAGCAACATCCTGGGGCCCTCTTGCGAGTCTTCCTGTTCGCTAAATATGGTACTATTCTCCACCCAGTCGGGCAGAGCGGAGCTTCTGCTCCTTTTGAACACAACATTAGGAGCCATTTTTAGCAGCGGAGAATCAGACAGATATTTCACCTTGCTGGGGATCACTCAAGTGGGTAGCAGCAGCTCAACACTGGAATCTGGGGCCCATCTCTGCCCACCACAACCTCTTCAACTGGCGTTAAGTTCCTTTCCTTTAAAGTCACACCGCGGCTACTAGGGAGCTTATACCAGCGAGTTGACCTTCCGGCAGCTGCCCAGCCTCAGTGGTTAAGTTAGTAAGTGCTGTCGCTTCCAGGCTTTCCCAGTCCTTTCCTTGCAATAAGTCTTTTTTCCCATCTCCTCTTCTACCCCGCCTTTTCTCACTGCCTCCTAATTTATTTTATTTCCAAACAAGTTATCTTCGTGAGAATGACCTTTCCCTTACTGCTTCCTTCATCCACGGTAACAGATACATCCCACCGCATTCCAACCACAGGAAGGACAGCTGGACTCCTCTCTCCACAGTACTCGGGGATGACTGGATGCTGAGCAAGCCTAACCCGGTCCCATGTCCTCCCAAGGTCTGAGGCTTGCCCAAGCCTTCCTGCTGGCTCCGAGACCCACTCATCATGCCACAGCCAAGCCCCTACCCTCTTCGCTCTCAGCGGACTCATCACAGCTACATCTAACACACCCGGGGAGCAAACAGCTTCTTAGGTGACTTTCACGCGATAGGAAGGTGCCCGGGAGATTCCTCATCAGTTATGAGATGCACGGAACTCTAATAACGGGAACACCAGCAGCGAATGCTGAGGCTGATATGAAAAGGCCTCCCTCCGGATGGCTGGCTCGCTCGCTCGGTCGGTGACTTAGAAGAAATGGAGCATGGCAAACGGCACCAAGACCTGCCTTTGTGGGGACCCCAAGCAAACAAACAAAAATAACCAGTTCTTACCTTCATGGTCCCCACGGTCCTAATCTACTCCTCAAGCCTTAAGGACGATCTCGACACCCTTCCCAGCCAGTGTCCTCCGCGGCGCTCGGAGAGCTTGAGGACCAGTATCACAGCGATGTTCACAGCCAGAAGCCCAGCCTACCTATTTATAATCTCTGCAATGGGTGGAGTCTGCATGCTCGCCCCTTCTACCCCTTCCAGCCTTTAAACTATGACCTCTGGAATTCGATGACCTCTGTTATCTGATCCTCCCTCAGCCCCCTCGCCTAGGCAAGCAATCAATCGCCCGGACCTCCTCTGTTTTTTTTTTTTTTTTTAAACCACATCCTCCCTGTGGGTTTTCTTTTTTTTTTTTTTAAGCCCATCCAAATTCCTTCTCCTTTTTAAGAGCCGACAACCTTTTCGTTTCACAGAAAAAAAAAATACTAAAAAGTTTGGAAGGCGGGCAAATTTAAAGGCGCTGGCGATGGAATCAGTCTGGAGAGAGGAAAGCGAATCTGTCTGAGGGAGAGCCGAGTTGGTGCTGCTCTCAGCCGCAAGTCATCCAAGCAGTGGGAAACAGGGAACCCATAGCCCTCTGCGGCTCTCAGCCGCGTTTTCATTATAGACAGGAAGGGAAAGGAGAGCCTCCCCGACAAAGCTGGTAAGAATTTGTCCTGTTGTGAAGGCAGCCTAGATGTCTTAGAGCCTGACCAAAGCTCCCAGGTTGCGGGACCGAGATCCCCAGAGGTAATCAGTCCCAGTTCCTTACACTATCCCACCCTTTGTGAGGACTGCCACCCTCACCTGTCTGAGGTTGACAGCAGGGAGAAACACAGCAAATATACATTCAGTTTCACAGATATGCATTCTGGGTCTTTACTGAAGAGGGTGGTGGAGCTCAGTGGTAGAGGGCTTGCCTAGGCCCTAGTTTCTCTGCCCCTCCCCCACCTCCAACAATCAAGCAGTCAACAGATAAGAACAACTGATTCTCACGTAAGAAATGCTTGCTAAAATCCTATTTGCTGATCTCTGTGAGTTCGAGGCCAGCCTGGTCTACAAAGTGAGTTCCAGGACAGCATCCAAAGCCACAGAGAAACCCTGTCTCGAAAAACCAAAAAAAAAAAAAAAAAAAAATCCTATTTGCTGGAGAGTGTGCATTTTTGAAAGACAAACATGTGTGAAAAAGTATGTGATTGCCACCCTGTACGAGAAAACTTAAAAATCGGATAAGAGAAATGAGAGAGAGCTCAGGGAGGACAATGCCGGCCAGCAGGAGGATTTCGGGTGAGTTAAGCAGGTGAAGCAGCCCATCTTGTGATGGACACCTGTGTGGCTGAGGCTCTGAGCTCTGACTTCCCTGCAGGAAGGAGGTGGTGGGGGAGGGTGGCTTGATGAACTCGAGTTGGGGGAGAAAGCATCTTCTCTCACTGGCTTTGGTTTGTGACCCAAAATCCAGACTCAATGGCTGACCTCAAGCAAACCCGGTCCTTTTCTCCCTCAAACGAGGGTCCCTTCCAAACCCGAGCCGCACCTGAGAATTCTAACTGAGCCTGAGTGGAACGTGGCAGCCAAGCAAAGCCTTCCCTGAGCTTGCATCCCCTCCTCCCTTCATTTTCCTTTCCAAGAAGCACTGAGTCGGAAGCCCCATTAATTACCACAGCAACCAAAGGAAAAACAATGCCCAAAGGCCAGTGCCAGTCAGTAGAAATAGAACCCACGCCACTGGTGCAACACTGTGTTGTCTTGTAGTCACATCAGGAATAATGGGGCCAGTGAAGGCACTGCCACCAAGCCTACCGACCTTAGTTCTGTCCCCAGGACCACATAGTGCCAACTCCACAAAGTTGTCCTCTTATTTTATACGTCTTTTGTGTGTTTTTGAGACGGGGTTTCTCTGTGTAGCCCTGGTTGTCCTGGAACTCAATGTAGGTAGACCAGGCTGGCCTCGAACTCACAGAGATCTACCTGCCTCTGCCTCCTGAGGAGAGTGCTGGAGTTAAAGATGCCCCCCAGGCTTGTTATTTGAGTTTTGATTTCATTAAAGACCTGCTGTCTTACCCCTCAGAAGAGCTGAACCCTGGACTTCTTGCCCGTCTCTCAGAAGTGAACAAACTGCAACAGTGCAGTTAGTTCCTCAAGGCCAGTAGCTAAAGAACACATAAGGTTCATGGCCAGCCTTGCAGCTTGTAGTAAGACCATGTCTGTCTCTCTTTCACCCTCTCATTTCTATTTATTATTTATCAAAACATGTCCTTTCCACTCTTGCCAGGGGCACAACACTCTGGGCCTCCCACAGCTGGGCTCTCCTGTGGAGCCAGACTCCAGCCCTCCACATTGTTCAGGAGTTTGCATTTCTTTTTCTTGTTCTCTCTTCTGGAAGCACAGGGATGCTGCCACAAGGGTGGAAAGCAGCCAGGCTGCTCGCTGCACAGTCTGCCAGGGTCTGGTCCTTCTGGGCCTGCATTGACTGGAGGAATAAGTGAATGAATAGTGAAAGCCCAGGTTATGCCAGTTCTCAGTTGGTGCAGCTTTACGTAGAGAAAGAGTCTCCTGAGGGCTCATTCTTAGATGTCTCAAGCCGGTAAAAATATTATTTTCTTGGTTAAGAAATAAGCAATATTGCTGGGCGTGGGAGGGGGCATGCCTTTAGTTCCAACATTTGGGAGGCAGAGGTAGTAGGAGGAACTCTGAGTTTGTGGCTAGCCTGGTCTACGTAGAGAGTTTCAGGCTATGTAAAGAGACCCTGTCTCAAAAAAAAAAAAAAAAAAAAAAAAAAGCTTTAGTTTGTGGCTGAGAATCCAAACTGATGAGTTATACTGAAAGTAAACCTGGCCCTTCCCCAGGACAGTCAAGGCTATACAAAGAAGCACTGTCTTGAAACAAATAAAAACAAACAAAAAAAGAAAGAATGTGAAATGGACAGACCTGAGACCTGGTTTTTTTTTTGTTTTTGTTTTTTGGCAAAATTCAGTACAAGACTACTTTTCATTTTATTTTATTTTTTATTGGTCTGGTACTGGCTCACAACCATCTATTAATTGTAGTTCCAAGGGATCATGATGCCTTCTGGCCTTCCAGAAGCTTCACACAAGTGGTACACAGACATGTGTGTAGACAACACACACACATGCATTAAAAAATATGATAAAATATTTTTTTTTCCTAAAGACATTGCAGAGGGTGGAAGTGGGCTAGGGGTTTGGGAGAGACTGAAGATAATCTTCCAAAACTGAAGATTAGCTCTGAAAAGGCAAACTGCTGGGTAGAGACAGAGAAGGTTCTGCTTGCAGCAATATATGTATTTTAAAGATTGCAGCTGAAATTCAGCTGAAACCCAAGAATCTAAAATGTGCTGAACAAACTGGAGAGATGCTGTTGGAACCAGCAGCTGCAAAGAGGCTCAAGTCTCAAGCCTTGTGCTACCATGGTCTGACCAGAGTCCAGGTCAGATAACCCGCACCTCGTGCAGCAGATAAGAGCATTAACTGCAACCTGCTGACCGGGGAATGGACGCTGCCCGCTGCCTGGGGTTCCTTGGTGCACTGTGAGAGTAGATGCCAAGGCACACACAGTAAGCATGACCGACCCCGAGGGACAGAATGCACAAACAGTGGGCTTTCTGGCTGAGATGCACAAATAACACCTTCCTACCCTTAAGTGGTTTGTGAGATCTCTGCGAGCGCCTCTGTCTTTGCTGGATATCAAAAAGGAGGAAGGAGGAAGGCGACTTTTTAAAAGTGTACCCAGTTGGGAGCTAAGAGCAGAGTAGGTGTGCTTAGCAGAAAGAGGACAATGGGAACAATAGCCTGGGTTATCAGTTCCAAATGCCGACACCTGCAGAATGGAGACCTCAATCTGGCCTCCTGCTAGTTTGTGTTGAGGTTTGCTAATGGGAAAACCAAGCAGAAAGACAAAGGATCCTACAAAAGAGCACTTTGGCTTTAAGCACTGCTCGGTGCGCGCCTAGGGAAACACAAGCCAGGGTTGTTTTTAAAGACTGCCCAGACTCCAGTTGGCATTTGTACCATTCCTCACAAACAGCAACGTGCATAGCTTTATTTGTCTGATTTTAATCTTTCTCTGCCAGGTGAGGTGTCTCCATAATTCACTTAAGACTCTGAAAACACTGTTTAAAAAAAAAGAAGAAGAAGAAGAAGAAGCCGCCCTGGGGTGAAGAAAGGAAAAATGTGAGAAATGCTGTTTCCCTTGTTTACACTGTCTTTAAACCATTCATTACTGCCACTGGTCCTGAGGACCAAATTCCAGCTCAAAGGTTCCCATCATTGCTGCCAATCTTGCCTGTCCCAAAGTCTTCAGGAACGAATTCCAGTGTAGTGCTAACCCTAAGTTAAAATTCAGATCACACCCATCTACTCAAACATCTTCAGCCATTACTCAGGAAGGCCTAGGTTCAAAGAGCCTGACTAGAGAGATACGTGGGCCACGGTGTGAAACACCCCAGAAGCCTTACATGCAAAATAAAACACAAAAGTTAATTTTACTGTACAATATTTATCCCATCTGATTTGTCCCAAATTCTCTCTCTGTTTCACTCCCCTCCCTCCTCCTGTTCGCAGTGCTGGGGAGTCAACGGGGGCCTCCTGTTTCCTAGGCATAGCTAATGCCAGTCAACCCTCAAAATTCTCATAGTAACAAGTAACCAATGTAAAAACTAGTCATTTATTTTTCTATTTTGTGTCAGGCATTGCGGAACCCAGTGTGTATTTTACACTTACAGCGCACCTCAGTTGGAGCACTCAATTTTCAGCTGTCAAGATGAAGTGGTCTTTTGTTTGTTTATTTTCGAGATGGTATCTCTGTACTGGAGATTAAACCTATGGTCTGGCCTATGCTGGAAAGGGTTCTGCTTCTAAGCTGTGATTTCCAGAGTGCTGGGATTCTAGGCAAGACTCAATTCTTTTTTTTTTTTTTTTTTTTTGGTTTTCAAGACATGGTTTCTCTGTGGCTTTGGAGGCTGTCCTGGAACTCGCTTGGTAGTCCAGGCTGGTCTCAAACTCACAGAGATCCGCCTGCCTCTGCCTCCCGAGTGCTGGGATTAAAGGCGTGCACCACCAACGCCCAGCTAAGACTCAATTCTTTATAAAGTTATTTTGCCTTAGGTTGTTGGGGTGTTTTGGTTTTTTGAGACAGGGTTTATTTGTGTAGGCCTGGCTGTCCTGGGACTCACTCACAGAGATCCTCCTCTTTCTACCTCCAGAGTGCTGGCATTAAAGGTGTGTGCCACCATGTCCGGGTCCGGCTGCCTTAGGTTTTTGCTCTCTTTTGTTTTTTAAATAGTAATAGTGAGAAAGCT